GATGCATCTCATAGTGTGAAGGGATTAGTTTCTTCACTTTCTGGGTAGACAGAGAAAAAAAAGGGGCTTATTATCAATTGCTTGCTAATGCAAGTTACAATAACTTGTAATGCAAGTTACAATGAATTTCAGAAAAATTGCATAAGAATGCATATATGTATATATATGTATGTATGGAATCCTTGTTCAGGCTCACCGCAAACCATTCCAGTTCCTCTTGCAGCTGCAATGCAGCACCGGGCTGAGTTCCACCATTGTAACATGAGGTGTCTGCAGCATGATGCAGAATAGTATAGCCGTTGTTGTCAATGGTCACAGCTAACCTTTCCACTGCTGTTATGTCATCATCTCTCACCATACTAAATATCTTAGGTTGCCGGTATCTTACAGCTACATGCAAAATGTTCTGACCCGTGCTGTTAACGTGTTCAATAGCCTGAGGGTATGTCTTGAATGTCCAACTAACAATTTCTTGTATTCCTTTGCTGGCAGCAATTAGCAATGGAGTTTCAAGTGATGATGTTGCTTTCTTTGTGGAGCTCGTGTAAATGATATTGTCTCCAGTTCTTTCTTGAGTTTCAAATTCAAGTTTTGATGCTTGGTTCTGGTCTTCCCCGATGCAGATTATGTTGTCATTCATTTTATGACTTGCTGTCCAAGAAGTGTCTTTCTCCACCAGAATCTTGGCCAGTTCGTTGGCTAATTTGTGCTTTTCCTTTAACTCTTTCGTAACTTTAACCATCTTATATTCTTTGCACAAACAAGTAGATCATGATTAGTCATCACCAATACAAGTATTAATAATCTATGCGTTCCATAATCAAAATTATTTCAAGTGTCCAAGGTGGAAAATGACAAGAAGGATTCAAATCTTTCTCACCTTCGGCTAGTGTCTCCCAAAAAAGTCTGTATAATTTTGGTATTGCTGTAGTTTACAAGTAGCTCAATCAGAACCATTTGTATTAGTTTACCGTAAACAAGAAAATAAAAGCACAAGAACGAAAAATATGCATGCATATTTACCTTTAAAGATATTGAGATGGCTAAGGAATCTCCATACGAAATTGGACTGCTTGTCCTTTTGCTCTTGATCATCATCCTTGTTGCCGTGCAATAACTTTGGTAAGCCTGTAACGAGATAATCACTTTAAAAAGACAGAAACTTTCGATCTAATTGCAGTTTATATATGCATAAGCACATATAACATACATATATAGAGCATACTTACAATTATAGATGAATGCTTCTAGTCCTTCCCTGAGGCAGGAACTCTTAAAAGCCCTGGGCATGGAAGCTAGTAGACAGAGACTTGAAAATATCATGTAGTTTCGTTCCTCGTTTGGAGAGAGTAATTCTGCATTGTTTCTTAATAACCAAAGAGCTACCTCCTGTGGATGTTCAAAGCCAACAGCAATCAACCTTAAAGCAATATTCCAATAAAGATTGCAACAGTGAAATTGAGATTAGAAATTAATTTCAATTAATTTGCTCTACTTGCAATAATTTATATCTGTTACGTCAGGGTACTGATTGTTATGTATTAATTTAGTGATGACAGGTTTGGTTAGAGATGAAATATGGGCATGGAGAGCATTAGTGGGAGACAAAGTTAGTCGACATCATCCC